AATTTTGTTTTATGATCATCTAGTCTAAATTGATATTGGAAGAATTATTAAAAAATATTTTTTTCTAATTTTTATGTTCTCACCATTTATTCATCGTAACCATAAAATTGTGTTATACAATATTTTTATCTATTATAAATTTATTTAATTTTACTTTTATTTTTGTATAATTCAAAAAGTAATATAGTCAAATTCCCAAAAATATATTTTTTTTTCTTTGAGACAAAACCGATCAATCTAATAATAATTGGATTGGTAATTGTAAAATATTAGTTGAATTGAATTGATTTAACATTTCTTTAATCAAATTAAATTGAATTTGATAGAACAATAGTAAAAAAAACGATCCATCCAAACCACGAACCCCCCTAAGTATGTGCATAAAAGCAAACTTCAAGCAACATTTTTTTGACAACCAATTCATTTAAGCCATTGCTAAATGATGATATGATTTACAGAAGATATCAGAAATTAATAGCATTCTGTCTATTGTTTCACATGCAACATTGACAAATAGGAGGCTATTCACATAGTTGGCATCTGATCTGACTAAACTTTTAATAGACCATCCATCTGTGGTTGTGGGGCAATGGCGGAAAGGAGAGGAGGAATGCAGTGTGATAAAACAGAGGAGCAGATTGAGCAAATGTCAAGCTTCTTTCATTCTCTGTCTTATCCACTGCTTAGTAGCCCAAGGTTGTGATTAAGCGCTGCTCTTTTTCCCTTCACTTCGATGTGCCCAGAAGGGTATTGCAGGAGTGCGCTTAAATGCCTTCACGCTCAATGGGTTGTTCTTGCTCTGTGCAAAGAATTCAAGTAAGCAAATAGAAAGATGTAGCCTTTAGGAAAAAAGAGAGAAAAAGGAATCAACTTTTATGGTCTTACCATCAAGCAGGTGCCTTCATTTACATTGCAGACAGGGTAGTCATGTGGGCAGCAGCTGTAATGGTCGTCACAGCATGTTGCAGCCTCAAGTGGACAGCATCCCCAAGAAAAGCAATAGCCATAATACTCGTACGCACAGCAGCAGGTGTTGCTCTCAGGACAAGAGTAATAGCTATCACAAACAGTTGGAGGCTTGACTGGAGAAGGAGGAGAAGGACCAGGATTGGGGGGATTTTGGCCTGTCTTGATAGGATAGGAGGCCTCCATTGCAATTCCACATTTGCCAGTAGCAGTACCAGCCAAGTTACGCTCCATCCTTATGTAACCAGACTCTCCCCAGCTGCTGCCCCATGAGTTCTTCACAATCCAGTAATGTTTACCATTCTCTGTTCCATACCCAACTGCAGTCACACCATGATCAAGGGCTGTCCCACAACGTCCAGTGAATATACCCTAAAGAAATTGGAAACATGGTACATAGTTTAGTCTCAAATTCATCCAACAATGACTAAACCTAGAAAGCAAATCAGAGAATAAGAGATGTTAATGCACTAAAAAATTATTTCAATTTCTGCAAAGAATAACAAAGTTTTTATCTTTTGATGCCTGTAATGCTGTTAGGATTAGAACTGTAATCCACATGATGAGTAATGTTGACAGAAAACACAAAGACAGTCTCTTACCGATTCATAAAACTGGAATGCCCTGCCTCCTGCTTCAATGGCAACACTCACAGGCTGATTTGCAACAGCCTTCTGCAGTGCTTGCTCATTATTCTCCGGAACATCTTCATAATCATCAATGGTAACAACCTTGGCATTCTTCTGCAGAGTATAAAAGACCAAAACACTGGTGAGTACCCTCTATTTAATCCATAAAAAGTTACAAAACTTTAAATGATCCAATAAACTAACCCTGTACTGGTCACATCTGCCATCAGCGGCGACGTAGGGATAGTCTTCCTCGGTGTCAATACCGCCATTGTTGATAATGAATTCAAAACCATAGTCCATGAGACCTCCATTGCATCCTTCATTATACGTGGTATCACAGTCCACCAACTCCTGCTCCGAGAGGGAGATCAGATCCCCTGTAACTATTTTGTTAATCCCCTCCACCGCCGCAATCGTGGAGAACGCCCAGCAACTCCCTAATTTTTTAATTAAAAAACCATGACATCAGAATTCAGGCACAACAAAATCCCCATCTCAATTAATCGTCTTGTTAGTACTAAAGCCTGAAACTTCGTGGATGCACTACATAGCGCGATAAGGTCCAAGAACATGAGTATGTCGGCATGTGGAACCCTCCGTAAAAGTACGAAACCAGAAAGTGCATCATGACTCATCACCACCACAGAGTAGATATCTAAAAAGAATCCGGTGGG